GAGATCGCAGCGGCTCCTCGGCAGCCGATGGTGGGCGCGGCGGCCGCCGCCCCAGGTGATCGGGGCCGGTCCCCGGGCCACCGGGGGGGCCGGGGCGGGCCGCGACGTCGGGCGGGCGCGGGGCTTGCGCGGGTTCCGAGCCGCGGACCGGCGCGCGCGGCGCAGCCAGGTGAGTGACCGCAGGCGCGGGCTCGGTCGCGCGGCCGAGGTGCGGGCGGGTCCGGGGCGGCGAGCACCCTGTCCCTCCGCGGCCGTCACCCGTCTGCGCCACCTGCGCATCGCGCCGTGCCCGGGCGGGGCGGGGGCTCCCGGGAATGACGGTAACCGGCGGGTCGGTCGCTCCGCCGCGCCCGCGCCCCGCGCCCGCGCCCGGGGCTCTGAAGCGCACTTTCGCTCGCACGTCGCGGCTCCGCGCGGCGCCCCGGCCACGCCGCACCTCGCGTTCTCTCTCTCCCGGGCTCTGCTCGGCGTTCACTGCCCCAGCCGTCCCACCGCGGCGTGGCGCCGAGCGGGGGACTTGGGGACTGGCCCCGGCGCAGAGAGGGGCTCGGAAATGGGCGCGGCAAGACAACCCGCAGCGCCGCCGAGCATGCCCGCTCGCAGCGGACCGCCGGCCGAGAAGTAACGCGACTCGCCCGGGTCGCGGCAGCAACCCTGTGGCCGCAGTCCGTGCTCCGCACCCGGCTGCGGGTTCTGCATCCTCCGCGACCCGCGCGGGCTCGGCGGCGGGAGCGAGCCGGGGCAGGCGGCCGCGGGCCGGAGCCGGCGGTTCTGGCTGTCCGTCGGCGCTTGCGCCTCACCTGATTTTCATTTGGGCTTCTTTTACAGCTAAAGTAGATAAAAATGGCTAAACACAGACCCCAAACCCCCACCAGGGGGGAAACGGCAGATTCTATTCATGGTGCAGCCAGAAGGCCTCGGGCCTCACAAGCAGCCAAGGGGAAGAAACAGAACGAGCCTGTCTGCAAGAAAAAGCGGGGAACGAGTGACCCGGGTGCTCCAAAGATGCAAGCGTGGTTTTGGATGGAGATGACCCCACGGACGTCTTTGCCGGGGTGCTGCTGGTTCCTGTAAGGACATCTTTTCTGAGCAAATGGCGAGTCCACTTCCACGCAGCACCCACTCGGGTCACAATGCTAACCACGACTGGGAAGGGATGTTTTGGGAAGTGTATTCAGGAAAAGCAAAAAAAAAAAACCTAGATTGCTCAAAGTTTCTGCCTTTTTTGTAGGAATGGTAAGTCAACTATGAGCAAATATTTTAATTAAACATTAAGAGAAAAAAACATACTTTGGAAAGCATACAGAAAAAGGTAGTTAACGTTGGATCACTTATAAAACGGAACCTCGGGGAGTCTAACAAAAATGCACCTTCGGTCGACTTTTGCTTTTTTAAATTCCTCGTTTGACGTCACGTCCCAGTGCACATGGAAATGACAGCTGCCGCGAGAGGTGGAATTGGAGGGGTCTCCAGGAGCATCAGAGGGTTCGGGGGTTGTATTCTGGCAGTTTCTTGATCTTCTCTTTCTCGGTCTCACTTTCGTCTCTCGCTATCACCAAGGAGTGTGAGTAGCCCATGGCGACCTGCGAGACACATCGGCACTGGCTGTGCGTGGGGCGCGCCAGCACATCAAGGCCAGCTAACAACAGACACCGGGAGCTGGGCTGGCCACGAGGTCAGCATGGAGAGAACCGGGGACCCTCGAGATGCGTATGAAAACCCTCTGCTAAGGACAGCAAGTCTCCACGCGATCCCGTCACCAATGCCTGCCAGCCACAGCCTTTCGGGCTGCCACGGAGACCTGGCTGGAAGGAAGCCAACGAGCTGTCTCTGCCAACAGGGACAGGTAGAGACATGAGCTCCAGCTCTGCATTCTACGCGCCTTTCTGGAGCACCTCTGGGTAGGTGTGTGCCCCATCTGTGTCTCAGCAGACGGGGCTGGCAGCCTGGCGACTTGGCAGCAGGGGCCCTGCCCTGCCATCTGCCTCGCGCAGTTCTACTCGGCGGATCTGCCCCCAGCCTAGCAGCGGGATCCAAGTCTCGGGTGAAGGTTTAATGGAGCCACGATGCGCTCGCCTGGGGACCAGTCTGCTGTGGCCATACTGCGGGTGTGCCATCAAGAGCGAGGATGGCCACCAAGCCCGGCCAGCATTACCTTGCACACTGTCACTTTCTCCTGCTGCTGGCTGTACCTGTTAGAAAACTCTAGTGCACGGTGGCAGGGAAGCTGGTCGAGATGTAGGCAAGACGTGCCCTTTCCCTGCCAGGCGCCTGCTGGCACTCACTGGCACAGCCGCCCACACTCACCTGCTCTGAGAAGATGCCATCCAGAGTCTTCACCTCTTGGGCTGCAGTGGAAGACTTGGGCTTGTGGTCCCCGTAGCCCTGGCAGAGCAAACGAAACACTCAACCAAACAGGGATCGACATGGCCCAGTCCGAAGCGGGGACTCACGGCACCACGTCCCAGCAAGACGCTACCCAGAGCCAGAGAGGACGCCCTCTGTCCGCTCAGCGACTGAGCCCAGCCACGCGCAGGTACGGGGCCAGGCCGCCAACAGTGCCCACAAAAGCCACTATCAACAGATGACGCGCTCTTAACTTGAGGAAGACCAAGGCGCTCGGCTCTAACCTGTGAGGGTTTATGTGATAATGAAGCCCTTTTGGGGAGTACAGAAAAGTGACAGGAGATGACGCCGTGAATATAGGAAGAAACTGCAACTGCAGCCTTTCAGGAAGACAAGGTCACTGAGGACGCTGGTCAACAACGTGCCCGACGCTCTGCGGTTTAGAGGCCAAATAACCACCATCCAAACCACGAGATGGGGGGAGTGAAAGGGAGCACTGCCGATCAGCAGTGACTGCAGGGCACCCCACGCCACAGACAGGAGGACTCGGTCAACACTGCTAAGGGCGGGGGCGGGGGGGGGTGTCATGCAAAGGTCTCAGACCTCTCGGCTCAGCTGAAACAGACGGTCCTGAAGGGCGGGAAGGACAGGACACCCCCAGCCCGGGGCCTGCCCACACCCGAGAGGCTTCCCCAAAAGTCCCCCTTATTCCCCTCTAGTTTCAAAATTCATATTTAGAAAGTCAAACTCTATTTCTGATAGGCCCCCCCAAAACCATCTGTTCTTCCTCTAAGAGCAGTCCATAGAAACTGGACCAGGTTCTGGTCATGTCCTTTCAATGTTTCAAACTGGGCAGCCTCTGAAGCACCCCCCGGCCCCCGGCAAGACCGCGAGGGTGTGCAGAGCCCCAAGGAAAGGAGTTCCGCCTAGCATCCGCTTATCCACCCCAGCGACCGCGCACGGGACCCAGAAAAGCCCTTCCTTCCCCTCGTCTCCGTCAACTGGGTTGGCTTCCACCCACAGAGACTAGGGGAGAGATACGGACCATGTTTCTAGCAAGAAATAAGGCAAGACAAACTACCAAGAGTCAAGCAGACGATGAAACCATGACTAGAGCAGGAGGACCGTCAGGATGAGCCAAGCTATTCTTAACAAAAGTTAAAGATTAGCCTAGGACCAGGACCTAAAAATCAAAGACATTTGGTCGGGGAGGGCCAAAAGTGTAAAATTGAGGGCTGCTGGCTCCAACCTCATCAGTCACTGAGATTAAATACTGGAACACAGATTTAAACCCCATTCAGGAAAAATATGGGGAAATGTCCCCAAATCACCTACGAGGCTGGCCCGACGACCTACTGCTACGCGGAGTGCAAACCATGGGCCAGTGCTGCTCATTGAGTTGAAAGGCTTCAAGGACGCGAGAAGATCAGGAAGACTAGACGCTCGCGCATTGGTTTAAAACGACAGTCTCCACTGACTGGGCGTGGTGGCTCACCTGTAATTCTAGCAATTTGGGAAGCTGGGGTGGGAGGATCACTTGAGGCCAAGAATTAAAACGACAGTTTCCTATTGACTTAAACCTTCTGGGCAGAGGGAACAAACAGGCCCCTTTCCCATCACCCAAGCACCACAATCACGTCCCAGGCATGGCTTACAAAATGCAAGAGGAAACTGGATCTGAAACTTCCCAATTTCTGTATTTTACAATGTGGACAGAGATCACTTTCATAATTGTTTGATCAGCACCGACTCATCCTTAAAAAGCTCATGGGATCCAAAGATTACAGAATGTTGCAGACCATAATGTACCAAAGAAAAAAAAAGCCCACACATTTTCTGGTAGAACCCGGGAGAGAACAGCCTGGACGGGGCCCCACCTGGCTCTGCCAGCACCTTACCAGTTCTCCGAAGGTTGGCGACGGGCCCCAGCTGATGGTGCTCTCGTCTGCAGCCACGATGATGCTGCTCTTCCTGCAAACAGGCAGGGTGTCACCACCACGCCCAGGAGCCCCAGCCTACGCAACTAACTGCTCAAGAGCATGGATGTGAGCTACTGATTTTAAAAACCAAGGACATCCCATTAAAACCTCTACAATGTACTCATGTCCAAGTAATAAACACAACTAAGAGGCCAACAGAAAGTCTGGCTAGGATCCAAGGGCAGGAGACCTGGCTGCCCCACCCCCACCCCAGGTTCTAGGGCTCTTGGTGGGAGGTCAGTCTGGAAGACACACACACTAGGAAACGATCAGACCAAATCAGGATGAAGCGAAAGCCCACTCCCAAGGTGGCAGGCCTTCCTGCACAGTAACTCAGGTTAATCAACTGATTAAAGCCACAATGACTCCCCTAAACCATCCCCCCAAACACCTGTCAGTTGATTAACCAACTTCTCATCAATTAAGTGCTAGAGAACGCAACAGGTGTCCTGAAATGAACTGAGAACCACTGACAAAAAGAGAGTTTCTTCTTCCCAGTGTGTCAGAGTAGCTAAGATCCAACTATGTTTCCAATTACAAATAATTTCCAACCTGCAACGTAAGCAGAATACAGCAATCTCTGCTTGTGTATCTTTCTTTGGAAAACAAATATCTTCAAAATGCACCCCCACCCCCACCCCCACAGACAGGGAACAAGCCATCTGTTCCAGTGCCTCCCAAGCCCTCCCCCCTCCTGCCCCTCCGGATTCAGTGCACGCGATGCCCTAGCAGGACAGCCTGGCAGCAGACGTGGAGCCCTCCCAGGATCCAACACCCCCAGGGAAGGAAGAGCCGTCTCTGTCACCAGGAGATGCTGCCACCTACCCACAAGCCAGGCTCCGGATTCTCCAGCCACAGAGGTCCTGCACTGCTTTCGGGTACATGGTAGACTCACGGGAGGTGTTGGTGGCCCCCCAGAAAAACAGACCACCTGGGGGAAGACAAAACCCATTCCAACTATGACCAGACATCACAAGAGCTGAAGTCTCACCTTCAGCACTGTCAAGGTACAAGGCAAAAGGACTGGATGACAAGTGAGCATTCTGTTTAAAAGAACACTGGGGAGAGGCTTGAGGTTCATGGTCTGGGGATAGAGCAAGGGCCATGTGGCTCCCCAGCGGAACACTGATCTGCACCAGAGGGAAGAAATGACTAACCTACTTCGCTGACGGCAAAGGAGCAGGTGTAACCGGCATAGATCTGGCACGCCCCACGCCCAGGGAAGTCAAACAGTTTCACCAGGCGAGGGACCATCTCGTCCTTCTGCTCGGCGTGGCCCAGCCGGCCATAGCCACCGAAGCCCCAGGAGAAGACTCGCTTCTGAGAGTCCAGGACCAGCTGCAGGGAGAGAGGAAACAGTGTTGGAACAAACAGGCTTCCCAGGTGACAAAAGGGGTCCCTATGTCCAGAGAACCTGATGTAGCAGCTAGCGGCACGGGAGCAGCAGCGACATTAAGGATAAGCTCTACCTGCCTCCAGCAGGGGCGGAGCCACCAGGAGCACAGCTGGCCGAACCCTGGTTCAGTAGGAGGCCACTCTGCTACTTTCTCTGCTGGGAACTCTATTTTCTAGTCTTAAGTCACAAATTTTTCCCTTTCCCTGGTCAGAAGCAAGAGGGCTATGTCTCCACACAGTAAGACAGTGCATTCAATTTCCTATTAAAATACTGATTAAACTACAGAAAAAACAAAGAGGAGAAAAGGCCTCCCTGTCCTGGATTTTTCTTTAGACCTTCCTTGCCTACAGGTACACAGGCAACCTGCACCTGCTCCCCAGTGAGGTGAGCAGACACTTCAACCACTTAGCACAGTAACTGCCACGTGAGTTGTATTTAACTCATGCTAGTGTTGAGCCTGGGACTTCATGAAGCATATGTAACTCACACATCTCTATCTTGGGAGCCACGTGAACTATTTTTCAAGTCACATTATAACTCACGCACAGAAAATGATAAAAAATAACAAATTTCTCGTTAAATTAGAAAGGATTATTTTTTGTTTTCAAAATTTTTATTCTATTTTCACAATAAAACACCGTGGCTCCAAGGAAAAAAAGTTTTTTGGTAGTGTGGCAGTTGATGTATTAAAAGTCTATCTTCCTTTTTAAAGTGGCATTCCTCCATCAACCTCTGACAGGCAAATTCGGTACCTCTGTACAACTTACTAGAAAATTTCATCTAAGAAACCCTAAATAAGATCCAACTTTGTTTGCCCTATTTAACACATTAGACAAAACAGAATCACAGTTTTCACCCTTGCAGGCTGAAATCCTAGCCAATGCAGGGTGCAAAGAATCCCAGGAAGGTGGGCCCGGAGCACCGACTTGGTCTCTGGACTCCTAGCCCAAGGCTCTTTCAACAGCAGAGAACCCAACTTTACTCACAGGCATTCACAGGCAAAACAACTACAAGAAGGCAAGTAAGATACAAAGACACATAAAAAAAATTGTATTGCAATTTATATAAACTGACCTTTAAGGAAACAACCTTAATGATCAAAACCTATTCAATTCCCCAGTATAGGATATTGTCTATTGACCTGGGAAGATGTCCATGATATTCTGTTAAGACAAAAACCAAACACCAAACAGTGCTTACTGTATAATGGGGGGATGGGGGGGCGGCAAAATGTCTGCATGTTTAGCTATGTCTGTAGAAGTCACAGGAAAAGTTAACAAAGGAGGCAGTGACAAGGAACTATGTCCCAGGGCCAACTGAATGGGACAAAGAACTCTGAAGAGCGCAGAATGGCCACCTGGGATCAGTTCCTGGCCAAAGCCAAGTGTTGGGACGCGTGAGCACAAATATACCTTCTACCCTGGCATGACTCCCGGGAATCAAAAAGAAAAACTCAAGCCTTACTGTGTGGTTAGCGCCACAGGCCACATCTCGCACAACCACATTTGGTACCGGCAGAATCTGTCCATCTTTCGTCTTCTCGATGAAGATGGCCACTCGCCGGGGGACCAGCTCGCAGTCGTACTCTATCCGCTGCGCCCGGGCGATGAACTTCCCATCGGAGTTGTGTCCTGTAGTGATGATCACAGGGCCAGCATCAGCGACCACAGACAGGGCACAAGGGATGCGGCAGTGTGCTCACTGACCGCGCAGGCAAGATCCCAGACTCCGGCAGGCCGCAGCAGGCCCAGGGCACCTCCCCAAGTCTGGCCAGTCTGGGCTGTACCCACACTTTGGTCAACAAAGGCAGCATTCTCCCATCTAAGACACAGCCCAATTAGCAGGTCAGGAAATCAATTTTGTGAGTTGAGACCAGTTATTTTTTAAAAATTAATAGAATAGCATAAAAAAACACCAAGGGATACTCTACATAATAAGGACATGTTGTGAAATTCTTTGTATGTCAGTATTCTACATTCAGATTGGGTTATAACGTAGAACTTACTCCGCACTGTGGGTTACAGTCAAAAAAGTTGGGAAGCTGCTGATCCTGGTCTACAGCAAGCACCATCTGTGCCACACTCAGGGGACCTCAAGGAGCCCCAGATGGACCAAGAATGGACAGAAAATGTCAACGCACAATTCCATTCTTCTATTTTTATGAATTATCAATAATCTAAACGTATGGTTGTGGGTCGCTAAAGCCTGCAATTCATATGCTCTAACTGACGCAAGGCAAAGGTTCCCAAAGACCCAGCTCAGCACAGCACATACTGGCAGCCAAGCTGCGGCACAGGCCTGAGAACACACCAGAACACTCTGCTCCTGCAGCTACACTGGCAGTGCTGCTATTTGTAGTTATCAACTACTTCTAGCCCCACATTGCAATCATCAGTTTGTCAGCTGCAAAACTGTCATATCATGGTTTGTATATTGGTTAGCGCCCAGCTTGTGGCTAATCCCACCCCCTCCCCCCATGGCATGCTTGTTTGCACATTGACACTTTATTGGTGTGTGAGAGAGAATACTATGTTATTTAAATAGTCAGCCTTCTGTGTCCACAGGTCCACATTTACAGATTTAACCCACTGCAGACCAAAAATATTGGGGAAGGGGGGTCACAAAAAAATTAATAAGATATGAGTAAGACAACATACTATAATAACTATTTATATAACACACTGTGTTAGGTGTTCTAAATAAAGTAAAGATGATTTAAACCATTAATATATGGGAGGGCCAGGTGTGGCGGCTCAGGGCTATAATTCTAACACTTTAGGAGGCCAAGGCAGGAGGAACACTTGAGGCCAGGAGTTCAAGACTACCCCAAGCAACATCACAAGACCCTGTGTCTCTAGAAAAAATGGAAAATGTAGCTGGGAGTGGTGGCACACACCTGTAGTCCCAGCTACTAGGGAGGCTGAGGTGGGAGGACTGCTTGAGCCCAGGAGTCTGAAGATGGTGAGCTATGATGACGTCACCATGCTACAGCACGGGCAACAGAGCAAGGCCCTGTCTCAAAAAAAACAAAAGAAGTATACAGAAAGCTGTGCATACATTTTATATAAGGGACTCAAGCATCCTTTGGTGTGGTACCTACAGGGGGTCTTGGAATGAATCCTCCAATGGTTACCAAGGAGCAAACCATATCTTGGAATCACAACTAAAATAAGCAAGATGAAATTATTGGGTTTACAGGGCACTGTCTTATAACATTCTTCTCATAAGCAGTTCATATCATGACACCAATTCTCCCCTGTTGATATATACTCTTTTCCACTGGAATATACCTGTCAATTTCAAAGTCTGAGGTTGCCACTATGAGACTCCCCAAACTTCAAAACTATGATGTATTTAAGGACATCATAGTAAACAGAGTGCATCATAAGACATGGGAGCTACTCCTCACACAAAAATGGTATTTTTCAGACACCTGCACTCTTCTGGACAAGGTTTCAATAAAACAGTCAACAAATAACTTCTGGAGTCCCTTTTATGCGGTATCAAAGTGATGGATACTAAACCAGACAGACAGTCCCCAGAAGCAGAGGGAGCACATGTCGGGACTGTTTTCCCCTTCCACCTCCTTTAAAGGAGCCGCACACAATCCTGGTTTCTCCCGAAGTAAATCACAGGCCAGCAAGTGCGCGGGAAAACGCGGAACAACGGCGCTTCCCCACTCTTCCAGAGCGGCGACAGCTCGTTAAAACAGTCAGTGGCATCATCTTTGCCTTACCTGACCCAGTACACGCCATGCAAAAAAGAGCGCGCGCGTGGGGGAGTGCGTGCTGGTGACACACCTCCAAGGTCACGTTTATGCTCTAATTCTAAAAGGGACCTGCCCGGATCTAGACAATGAGATCGAAAACGCGTTTTAAAACAAGCTGGCACGTCAAGAACGACCAAGTCTACAGCCTCTAAACGAGTGCGCGCAGGCAAGCGAGCACGCGGACGAGCGCCACACGGCAGCGTCGGCCGCCACCGCGAGCACCCGCGCGTTTGCCCGGCTCGCCAGGACGGCCAAGCCCGCGGTCGAGGAGGCCCAGGCTGCAGGGCCCGCACGTGGCCGGAAGCACAGCCCTGCACTTCCGGTGTCTAGCCCGGAGCGGCCGTGGCCATGGAAACGAAAGCCGGCGACTCCCCGGCAACCGACAGGAATGCGCGCACAGGGCCGCTCTTATTCACTTCTGACTCGGGTATATTTAGTTTCACAAAGTCACCGTTCCCTGAAGTCCAAGGCCACGGCGTCTCCGCGTTCTATTTATACGCTTTCCATCTGCCCGCCCGCGTCTGCTGACGCGAGGCCGGCAACCCAGATCCCGCCGCGCGGGGCCGGCCGGCAGGGGGCGCCCGCGCCGCGCCCACCGCACCGCACCGCACCGCAGGCCGGCTCTGCTCCTGCCCCAGCTCTGGCAGGACCGGCGCGGGGGAGGAGGGAAAACCTTCCCTCGGAGAAAGTACTGCTTTCTGAGCACACACGGGCACTGTTTTGGACGGGGCATTCCGATCCGATCCGGAGGGTCGCTCCCTGGGCACAGGACGCAGCTCCTCCCTTGCGAGCCGCGACAACGCCCAGGCCGGGTTTTCGGAACCACCTTCACCTTGCGCAGTTTTCGCATTTTCAATAAAGGCGAGCCTTTTAATGTGAAACTGAATGAAGGTGGTTTTTTTTTTAACTTTTAAATCCTTTTATATAAATGAATTCCCAAATCAGAGGAAAGGCTCTTTTGTCAGACTCCAGCCCCGACTTTCTCACTGAGGCAGTCGGCGGAACACTCTAACCCTGTGAATTACGACACACTGTTCCATTAGACGTGAGATCCACTTAATGGATAAAGGCTATTATCTGAGATCAATTACCCCCGTTTCTAACACATGTGTGCAACCACACACTGATTTCTGCTTCTGATATCCAGATAGATTACAGAGCTTTTAAAAAATATATTTCCATACCCAGCTGACCATATTCAGGGCACCCAAAGGAATAGAGGTTCCCTTTGCAGTCCATTATCATACTGAATTCAGCCCCACAGGCCATTTTGGTAATTGGCTGGCCGTTGTACATTATCTGAAAAGAAAAGACAGTAGACTTTCAATCATCTTTTTAAAGGACTGATAAAAAGTCTCTACGTCCCTGCATGGTGGTGTGAAACAATTAGGTTACAAAGGTATTTAATAAACTCAACAATTCTGAAGGCAAAAGCTGAGGGCATGTCTATAATATAAAGCTCAGAATGTATGTAAAGAAACACCCTCATGACCCCTGCCCCCTCCCAGTACAGAGTAGAGTTCAAAGCCACTGTCTCTTTTTAAGATCAAGAAATCCAAGCCCCTCCCTTCAACACCTAAACCACTAATCAGGCACTTAGCATTCTGTCTTATATTAGTAGCTCATTTTTAAAGCACAAACCTCACTCCTCCAACTTAATCCTAAATTTCTTAGGAATAAGAGGTATCTACCTCTTATTTGTGTTCTAAGCACCTGGCAGGTGAGTTCATACAAAGCATTTGCAGATAAATGCAATTACATCCATACAGCATTTCTCACTTTCTTTGGAATAGAATAGGCTTTAATCCAGGCCTAACAAATTTCTCCCATTTAGAAAGAAAAACAGTTTTCAACCTGATCACCAACTAAACCTGTTTTAAAGACCATAATGTGACTTCCACTTAAGGCATCTGGACCCTCTTTTCACAAGGGGTCAATTAACTCACAACAACAGGGAGAAGTACACAGCCCCACCTCAAAAAACCAAACACAAAGTTGAGAGAGCGAGGGAGGAGGGACGCACTCACCTGGGCCGGGCTGGGGACGGCATCCGTCTGGTTGCCGAGGCCCAGCTGCCCCATCTTGTTCTCCCCAAAAGCGAACACCGAGCCCGTGTCTGGAAGGAGGGAAAAATAATGCTGAATGTTTTGAACTAGATTTGGAATTGTAGGCATCACAATGATAAAAACAGCCCATTTGCCAGGCAGAATGCAAGTGAGAGTCCAAAATATGTTGAATCGGATACTTTGGGGCAAAACCAATTCACGCCAGAAACAGGGTGTGCAGAAAACCACAATGAGACGTCTCAGACTCCCAGATGGGCTTCCTATGACCATGGGGGAGGCTCCCTATGCCCACAAGAAGCCACCCACCACCCGGAGTCCCAGGGCATCTTTCCAGTCTTGGCCAAGAGTGACTCTATCCCACCCCCAAAGTGGACCATTTGGCCTCTTGCCTAATTTAGAAGGAACCAGCCACTTCCTTACCTGTCAAGGCCAGGGTGTGGTTCCGCCCACATGCTGCCGACACGATCACTTCGTGGCTGAGACCCTCAATAAGTCTAGGGGCTTCCACTCTCTTGGTGTCGCCATGTCCCAGTTGCCCCTTCTCATTTCGACCTGCAGATCACAGTGAGATAAAGTGGGAAGGAGAAAGAGTGGCTGGAGGAGCCACAGGGCAAGTGCACACTCTCTAATGAGGCCAATCTGTGTCTCCTAGCCAGCCGAGATCCAGGGAAAAGAACATTCTGGCTTCTCTGCCCACTGGAGTGGGCTTGGGTGGCCTGCGTAAGATCTGGTGCAGCCAACAGCAAGCGCCTGCTGCTCCTTCTCCGACCCCATTCCCTGGGGCAGCAGTGGGACGCACCTGTGCACACCTCAGGCACCTCCCCGATCTCTGCTACCAAGGGAAATGGGAGAAAGGCTGTTTGGCCTGGATGCCGCCCACAGGCAGGCATGCTCGTGGAAACACACAGTTCCCACTTTCCATAGTGCCTGCGAGACAACCACCCCGAGATGCATTTTAAGACAGTACCCACTCTAACACCTGGCTGACAAATTTTAAGTATCCCAGTGCCCTGGGCATCTACTGTAGACAGTTTCTGCCCTGCAAATGGTGCTCACAGGACAGTGCTGACCCCACCCGCTATGACTGCCCCTCACAGGACCCCTGCTACATGCACCCTGGCATCAAAGTACAGGGCTGTCCCGAACACACACACACCCTGCCAGGGACCAGCTCCCCCCTCGGGAGCTGCTTTAGATGTGGCCAGAGCTCCGCATCTATGGGTCTGTGAATTCCTGCAGAAGGCAGGCCCAAGGGGGGCACTCCCTGCCACCAAGTCCTCTGCAACACACAGGCACCCCCCCCCCAAAACAGCTCCAAAACACACGTGGCACGTTGGCTGGGCCAAAAGGAGGGCTGGAAGCCCCTAAACATTACCTAGTGTCCAACACAGACTACACAAGTTCCAAAACAAAAAAACTCAACAGGCCACTCCCAATGATGAATTTCACCTTTACAGGTCATGAGAAAGCAGAGCCAAGCAGGTGGGCACTAACAGTCCCACAGGAGGCCCGCAGAGTCAGTGAACGGCCTTCAAGTGCGTGGGGCGTTGCACTACCAGGAGGAAACCATCCCCGACAGGCCCTTACTGAAAATCTGGCTTAGGGCCAGCACCAGCACTCTGGCAGGAGAGGCAGATGCCAGCTTCCAATGGGAGCTGCCCAGGTTCACGGTGAAAGGCATGTGACATGCAGAACAAGCGCTGGGCACCGTTTCCACCTGGGCTTGCCATGCCGAGGCACGTGTGGGGAAGGCTGAGAGCAACACATCACCCACTCTCCCGTGGCATTAATGCTATGGATGCTGGACAACGCCCCTCTGCGACACCCCCTGTAGCATTAGTCTGCTCAGGGACCACACTCTTAGACAGCAAGATGCACATTGCTCCCTGCCCACAGGTGAGCACAGAGGATGCTTTTAGAATCACTCGTTAAGAAAAGCTCAGCAAAGAGAGCAGAAATAAGATAGCTGAAGTTTGGAATGCTGACATAAAGGCTGTGTGCAGTGTTGAGACAAGAATACGAGGGGTGCTTTGGGAGCAGGGACACACCTTGATGTCAACCAGGAGAAAATAAAAATCGTGGCAATGTCAGCATGTCATCAAGAGACTACAAAGTATAAATTTGGGCCAGACACACTTGTTAGTTTTTTTTCAACAGAATTACAAAATTAGCAGAGTGCAGGGAAGACAACAGATGTTAATATATTTGGACTTTGGTACAGCAGCTCATGAAATCACAAAAAAATGGTTCAAACAGACCGAAATAAAAATGCAGTCATATGGACTAAAAGCTAGCCAAAGGACCAGAAACAAAGGGTGGGGACAAATGCCAACATACCCAGCTGGAAGAAGAGTCCAGGAGCTACCAGAAGGGCTTGGGAATAAAATGAGCCTTAGTCAATACCTTATTAATGATCTGGAAGAGGAAATAGGAAAGCCATCTGCAGAGGACACTGACACTAAAGAGGAGATGCTACCAGGCAAGGACAGGGAAGCCATCCCAAGCACCCAGGTGAGCAAAGCAGCAGAAGGGAAAGCAAATCTACTCTGACAAAGGAAACTACAAGATCTGGGGAAACGTACGAAACAAACCGGGCGGTGAGATACAAACGACCCTGCGTGAAGCCCAGGAACGATGGCTGGGGCTGCAGAGACGCGATGCCTTCCCTGCCTCCGACAGGACGTGCAAGGTATGAAAGCCAGTGCATTTAGAGTGGCAAGAACAGTGACCTTTTGTCACACCGTCCTGCAACACAAGAAGGGGCCATCCGCTGGAGGACAGCCCTTCTCAAATAAAACAGGCTTTGAGTTTTAGGCCCCTCAGTATCAGAAAGATCAAGCCTGAATATTCAGCCAGAATATTCAGGAAGAAAGAGGCTGCTTCAAGACAAGGAATCATAGAATTAGGGGGCTATGGATGCACAAAACACATCAAAAGGGGGGATGAAGGGGGCTTACTTGCAGGGCATAGACCAGACTAGTCTGAAATTAGGACGAGAACACGGGGGCTGCTACCGACAGAGCCTGGCCTCAGAGCAGGTCCTGGTCTCTCCTCTGGGCAAGCAGCAGCTCTGCACGGGGCCAGCTCGAGAGAGGTACTCACCCCAGCTCCATAGCTTCCCTTCCGTGGTGATGAGGAGGCTGTGCGCGGCACATGAGCCAGAGACCACCGTCCGCACCCGGACCCCCGCCAGGCACCCGTACCTGTGGGGTCCCCACAGATTCTGCCCGAGATTGCGGTAAGCAGCTGCAAAGAGAAGAACTCGAATCAACACCCAGGGGTGGTAGGGGAAGAATAACCCCCTCAAAGTGCCACTAGCCACTTCCCAATGGCACAAACCTGGCAGTCTATGTACCTGGCAGACGGGAGCCACACAAGGATCAAGTTTGCATCTTGAATATCTGCAATGCCTCCAATGCCCAAGGGACAAACCGCCCCAGGAGCTGGCCAGTCCTGGCATGGCCAGCCACCACCTCCATCTCTGGCCCTGACCTCACACCTGCCGCAGCCCTGCGTGCACTGCTGAGCACGCCCGCCCGCAAGTGTCAAGTATTGGGGCAGGCTGCGCGCCAGGCCCCGAAACTCCCTTGCCTTATGGCCCTAACCTGCACCACCTCCTCACTCCCTGCCACCCTGCCCACACTTTCCTCAGGTCTCCCCCTTTAGCCAGAGGCTCTTTCCAAGCTGTAACCCTGAGTGTCCCCAGTCTCCTGGGAACCACCTGCCCTCCTAGCAGGTCTATCAGGCCCTTCGAGGAGGGGCCCTGCTGAGCCAGCTCCACCTGCGGCCCCCTTTCCGAAGTCTCCCTTTTCAGGCCTCCCAGTGTGGTTGCCCACATATGCACTCCCCCCATGTCCCTCCTGCCTCCTACTGTTCCTCAGAGCTCAGGTCACACACCCTCCTCTGTAAGGCGGCCCAGAAATCACCCCACCCCAGCTGGGCCCAGCCTACTGTAGCACTCCCCCACCATGTGCTCAGTGACGACCCCTTCCATGATAAGCCACCCGAGGGCCTCAGAATGAATGTCTCTGAATGCCTGGCACACAGTACGGGCCCAATAATGTCACAATCTCCTCTTTACTTAGTGGACAGGAGTATGGCCAATTTTAGCTTAATTGTTTCACTCTGGGGCTCCCATGAGTGTTTCCAGGACTGTGGCGACTCTTTTGAAACGCCAGCCAGTGCCAAGTCAAGCATGTCAGATTGCTCAGGCTGTCGGGACTGATTAAAAGATTATGATTTCTCCGTCAATCCCAGCTCCCTGGAAAACTATCTTGGAAGTGCTTGTCCATCCCCACCTTCGGCCCCCAGCAGGGGGCGCCACAGGCTCCCCTCACTCAGTTATAGGTGCTCAGAGGGCTAGCTACTGAGCAGGCACCTGAGCAGACACCGCCTCAGGGCACGGCTCTACTTAAAGGTGAAAAGAAAATCAATTTCCAGGGGAGGGAGCAGACAAAAAAAAAACGATGGCCTCACAGTCTACATTAAAACTTCTCACAATAAACCGAAGGAGGCACCTAAATGACACGAGGTTTAGGTAACTATTAAAGAAAGATCAGCTTGGCATGGTGGTCCCAGCTACCTGGGAGGCTGAGACAGAAGGATCACTCCCTCTAGCCTAGGCAACAGTGACCCTGTCAAAAACAAAAACAAAAACAGAAACAGAAAAACACAAGAGGAGAAAAAAAAAGAGAAACCTAAGGTATTTATCATGAAGGCAAAACAGTGGCACGACTGACAAGGAGCAATGACTACGTTACAACAGCTCATGGAGTCAGGGGTAGGGTCAGGGAGGCCCAGCCTGGCACCTGGAGCAACATGGCACAGGTAGTTAGATGCTCGCAGATTTGCCAAAGCATCTTTCCCTGCAGCGGCTCCGGGAATAGCGATGCCCAGGATGCCTCAAGAGAAGCAAGGCCGGGTTCCTCCTGGCCTCCCTTGGAATGGTTTAGGGGAGTCCAAGTCAAACTGAATCCTCGTAGCAGTCTCGGGCCCCACAGCCAGGCTGATGGCTGTTAATTCCCGTGGCCTCCAGATCCCTGGGGCTGGGGCCCAATCACAGGCCGTGGATCGCCGTGCTCCCACCCTACCAGATCCGGGCAGCGTGCATGCGGGCCCACTGGCCCTGAGGATGGAGGAGATGGGGGGAGGACAAAATTCCTCCCTTCGCTTTTGGCACCAGTGGGGAAACAAACCTTCCCTCTCTTCCCTCTAAGGCCTACAGGTATTTAAAAATACTTTAAAATGACACAAGCCTTCATTGGGACGGAGAAAAACCAGGAAGGTGGAAATGGGGGCAGATAGAGAGGCATTCTTGAAATAAGCCTCATTAGGGCAAAAGAGAGCACAGCAGGGTCTGCTTCTGACCCAGGCGCTCTCCGGCCTCTGAGAACCCCCAGGAGGTGGGGAGGCCGTGCTGGGGGGGTGGCGCTCGCTCCTCTGCCGCCATGAGCGCTGCTCGCCACATCTGCAGCACGCAGCGGAGCAAACCTGGCTCCGGCCCAGGCCCTGCCACTTGCTTCCTTCTGGAATTTACTTCCCCTCCCTGGGTTTGCGTGTCTCTGACTGCCAGTGGGCCACTCATCTCAGAAGCAGCTTTGAGAAATGAGGCAACACGGGCACAGAGCTGGTAGGGAGGCACCTCAGCACGTGGGGCTCAGGTCGTCAGAGACCAGGAGGCACTTCCTGGGACACCAGCCACCCTGGGGACGTGGCCCCACGGGCTGGTCCTGAAGGCTGGGCATTTTCCACAAGAGGCGGCGCCGCCACCTGTGGCTGACACCCAGTGCTCGCCCAGCTGGACCACGCGCAGCTGAGACGCCTGCGGTTTTCACGGAACAAGATGATCTCCAACGCCCCTGTTTTAAGGCGCTAGGGCGTGCCAGTGTGCAAATATTTGTTCATGGGGCAAAGCAGTGTTGGAAGTACTTTAGGAATCTTTCCAAATAAAATCAAGAAGCCATAAAATGTGGCTATGCGCCAGCCTTCCTTCTCTTGGATGGGCCCATTTCCCGAGTATAGATACCAGTTTTCTAAAGACTGGGGACAAACAGTTACGTCTTAGGACCTCACTGCTCCCCTCTCTCCACAGACTATTCTCTCAAGCCAGTTCCTGTGACAATGTGGCAGCCTGTGAAGAAATGTGGCCTCTTCTGAAAGGTCTACATCTGACAAATCCCAGGACATTCTGACACCATCTCACAGGACCAGCCTCTTCATTTTAATGAAAGTGGCGCGAGGAAGATGGAAAAGGTGTCAATGCTCCTATGAGGGTACTATTTCTATTTTCCTGTTTGATCTTAATGGAATTGGTTTTTTAAAAGCAGGATTGTGAAGTGAGAGTGTCGAGACCAGAGTTCAAATCCAGTTCCATCACTAGAGTGGCTGTGTGACATCGAGCAAGTCACCTGGCCTCTTTGTGAGTGAAGGGAATACCTGCCTGGCAGGTGGTCACCAGAATCGCACTGACACCCAGCACGTAGGCAGCGCTCAATGGATTTTTAGAAACTGTTCTCGTACCTTGCTGTTTAGGCACTTCTTTTCGACCAATCAAGTCCCAGTTGGTTGCCCCAAAAATCAAAAGCTGCCCTTTGCACTTCGACCCTTCAAGTTTCTGCAGAGACAGAGAAAGAGAAAAGTGTTAGCTTTTAAGGCTGTTTCTGGTTTTCCGAGACTGTCCAATGACAGCAGTAAAAAAAATAAAATAATTCATCGTTAATGCTTGTGCCACCCGGGGGGCTGTGCACATGGACAGAGCCCGCAATCACCCCTCACACACCGCAATGTGGGTGACCTCAAACCCGCCCGCAGCAGCTCATTTGGTATGCCTAGGCTCATCTTTATTCTTTGATTTTTCTTTAAAATAGCTTTTGCAAAACACTAAAAATTAAGCCGAATGGTATTCCTCCCCTCCACTCCGCAAAGTTACGTGTAGAGATTTATGCACAAAGCCAGCCACGTCACTTGGCAGGCACTAAAACCAGCTTACCCTGAGGGCCCAGTCTACACTCTCCCATGGCGAGCACTGCGCTCCACCCGTGGACCTCAAGCCCTGAGAGCCCCAGGGCACTGCTATATACGTGGCCATCACCCACAGGCGCGGCACCCTTCCTGTCGTCTCTCCATTTGCTGCCCACTGTGCCAAGATCCTGTCCGTGGGGAATCAGGAAGGAAAACAGTAGAGGATGGTGTTCAGATTCTCCACTGGAGGAAGACAAGGGTGGGAGGATCTGACGCAAGCGGCCTTCGATGGCTCACTCGCCCAGCTGTCCACGAGCCAGGGGACCAAGCAAGGGAAACGGGGACCTCCCCAGGGCCTGGCGTCCTGAGGGACAGGCTGTCACACCAGCCAGTGCACTTCAGTTCTCATTCCCAGTCTCTCAACATAGAAAGCCATTAAGGCCACCAACTCTCAAGACTATCACTGAAAATCTGTGCCATTTAAAAATGCCATTGTCCAATTCTGGGTGGCACTCATAATACTCTCAGCACTCTGCTTCCTTAAATGTCAAAACACGCTTTTAAAGTGGATTGTCAGTCAAAGACTCAATCCTGAACGACCCACTCAGCGCTTTCTGGCGAGGGGCCGTCTGCTCTCCTCTCCACCACCGCAGGACCCAGGAGGAAAGCTTCCTTCTGTGTGCGTACGGAGCTGTTCTTGGAAGGCTTGAAGAAAAAAGGCCAGCTCCAGGTCCGATCACCCTAACCTCCACATGGCGACTGCCCTGCTGCATGTTCTGACGACATGGCTCACCCGTGTTTAAGATTACACGTGTTCACCATCAACGAATTCCGTTTCTTAGGGAACTTTACCTGACGTTACAGGGATCCGCCCCCCCAGTGGAGGTCCCCTTCCCCTCGCTTGTTCGGCCACACATACACAGCAGGAAGAAGATGGTCAATCTATAGGAACACATCCTGCAGGCGGCACGAAAGGGGAAACGAAACAGCACGGGAACGGAGAACAACTTGGCCACATTTAAATTATTTAGAGAACGCCCTTAGTCAGGGGTAGTCCACCCCTGCAGCACCCAGACTCGAATTACTTGAATCCGAGCCGAGTTTCCCCTGGTTATCTCCCTTCTTTGTTTAACTGGCAGGCCTGGCCAGAATATTCTACAGGTCTACAGCCAGTGGGTTCTGCCAAAGTCCCCATGGAGAGAGGTCCCTGGGTTCTCTGTCCAAGTCACTGACTTGTGCTCTACTGTCCCTCAAGTCCTGTGGAGGGGGCAGCAGAAAGGGGAAGGGAGCTAAGGCCCTGGGGGAGGGGAGCTGCTGGGAAAAGGGCCCCAGGATGCCAGCAACTCCGGGCCAGGCAGCCTCCCCAGGCAGGCAGAGGTTCAAGGGCACCGGTGTTGGGCATTCACTGCTGAAGTCAAACCACCCAACACCGCAAGGCACTCACTATAGCAAAACTCGCCAGAGCTGCGGCCACCCCAGCACCCCTTTGCTCCCAGGCCAGAGAGCATGGGCCAAGTTGAGACCACCAGAACCCTGGCGGTAGTGGGGTTTCCCAGGTGACCTGCACATCTGGTCACAGGCGCGTGGCTGTTGGCCCATCAAGCCAGCTAAACCCATATACAAAAACCCAACCTTTCTGGTAAGAGTGTGGGGGAAGCCTTGGTGTACTGAGCCCACTCCAGCGACAGTGGTCTGACTCCTAGAAGGGCATTAACTGTTTCAAGCTTTTTGTCATGGACCGTATTTCCCCCACATTAGATGGAGATGAATGCATTTTCTAACACTTATTTACTAGAAGCCACTTACCTTTATCTCTATAACTTAACTCTTCCTTCTACCTTATATGGAGTAAATAATTAAAGAACCCAACTCTATCGTCCCATAAGTTGCAGCCCACATCCCCCTTTGTCACAGACCTAAGACAGCCTGTCCCAAGGGAGAGAGACCCCGATGGCTGCTGGCTCCATTCAGAGGCCCCAGTGGGCGCAAGTGTCGGGAGGCCATGCAGCCCTCTGAGACGGCATCAGCCCTCACCGATGGGCCAGGAGATTGTGTTCTGGAAGAACTCAGGGTCTGCAACACTGCTGTGTGGAGGAGGGGATTTTGCCTTGCTGCCTCCCAGCAACCTAGACACGGAACCAGGGCCAAGATGGACGGCCATGGCGGCAAAAGGCACTGAGCTACTTCAATCAACAAAATGGGATTTCTGCTCCAAAGTGACTTTTGAATTACAGCCCAAGTGCAAGGAGCATGCTTATGAGGCTGAGAGTCAACCTTTTAACATATCCCCATTTAGAAGACCACTGCTCCTGAAGGCAGAAAGACTGCTGGAGAAAAATGCCGGCAGCAACAAATTCCCTAGTGGGCTATCAACTGAAAACGGCTCCATGCTCAGTATTCAGTTGTATTTATTTGTTCCTTCCAGATTGGACAGATCTGTATCGGGGTCCACACAACCTTAGCAACCCAAGAGTGAGAAAACTACAAAGACCTGGGCAGCCTGAGTGACACTCACCTGTTTTCTAGGATTTGGCCAAGGCTGCTGGCTTTACCTGCTTTACAAGGTTATAAGGTTCTCAAGGAATTAGGGCTGAATCTACCCTGGACAATGACAAGACGCTCATCTGACATAACTATACCCAGGTCCTCAGAGTGAGCATTTTCCAAGACTGAACATAAGAACACACATCTTATACTCAAGGCAACTTGCCCCTCAGCAACGCCACCTTCCACCATCCCAGCATCCACAGCTTTGAGGAGACTGAAGGCAACATTGTGGCTTTTTAGAAGACTCCAAGGCAGCTCCTCTCACAGAAACCTCCTCCTGCAAGCAACCCTGAACAGTAGGGCAAGGCGAGCAAAATGCTCAGTAAAAAGGCTCTTTCTGAAACAAGCTAGAGACTGCTGGTGGCCTGTGGCAGCAGATGGGGGGGGGGTCCCCAGGCCTGCTCAGAAGAGGAAGACCTTGGGCTTCCCTGGGACACCAGGAACCTGGAGCCAGGGATACTGGGCAGGAAGCCAATCTAGGACAAGGGCCAGAGTGCCAGCCTAGGCCCATGGAAAAGCAATGGGGCTACATGGGCCCAGCCCTAACTCTGGGCCAAACTCAACAGACGCTAATGAAAACTTAAACGTGGGTGTGCACTTTCCAAGAGGCATAAAACAGCACCTTCTATTGAACCCTCAGTCTCCTGGATGCTCTTATCCCAGGACAGTACGCTGACTAGCCCAGTGGAATCTGCCTAACAGGCCCTCTTGGTTTTTCTAAGGGGACTGAGGAAGGAACATGTAGCTTTTAAATTCCTGCTTATGCACATACAAATTCCTTTCCATATGTATGTATGTGTATTAACAGGAATTTAAAAGCTATGTTAGATGTAAATATAAAACAAGTATAAACCGCAATGAGCTGCTGTTGTCTACTCAGAAAGCAACAGAACCTCCCAGTAAGATTAACAAATGTGCCATTTCCCCGAGACAAACTGGCTCCACGCACGCTGGGGGAGGTGGAAGCAGAGGCAGACACAGAGGTGGGTTGGGTGAAGAGCCAGTGCCTACCTTCGTGGGGAATGGGGGGGGGGCAAGACTCTTACTTCTTGACAACAAAATGCATTGGCAGCTGGAGCCATGCAGCTGACAACTACAGAAGCGGATAGATATTCAAACACAATCTTGCTTTTTGAAAATTCACTCAAAATAGAATACAGGAGAGGCAGAAGCCTCTTTTTAGTTTTGTCCTAACACAGTGTGATTGGAAGGCAAATGTCCAGAGTCTAGCACAGTGGATGTGATCTGTCAAAGGAAAACAGTTCCTGTGTTCCAGTTCCTGGCTACTCTGGCCACTGTCCTAGCACTGGCCTGATCCAAGACCCTAGGTAAGACCTTTCAGCAGTAAAACATGTCAGTGTCTTCTACCACCTAATGTGTTAACCCTTTCCTGGGAAGGCAGTTATGTAAAGCATTTTCCCATGTACCACTGGCCACAGCACTATGGGTGACATCATTTGGAAATCTAGTTCCATCCATGATTTTGGACAAGGCCCTCACACTGTGCCCCAGTTTCCTTATCTATAAAGTGGATGCAGAAAAGGTATTATTTCTAACCATTTAAACATTGCCTAAGCTCCTCTAGGGGAAAGCACTCTGGTAGTGTTAACCCTTAAACACCCCAAAGAACACGGACAGAAGGGGAGAAACGATCCTCTCAGTGTGAGACTCCAAGCCCTAACAGGAGGCTCTTACTCTTTCTTGGGGTTATCTGAGAATCTGGTGAAAGCTCTGACCCTCTTCTCAAAGTCCCACACCACCAAACTCGCACAAAGTTCTGGTGGGATGATGTGGACCGCAGGCTCCTATCGCAGGCCCGCAGGGATTTGCAGGCACGCAGGTTGAGCCAGCCACGACCTTAACTAAGATTTGAGCAAAGCGAAGCCCAAGCAGCCCCTGGGAGATGCTTCTTCACCGGGGGCCACGACAGAGCCCACACGGAGCATCCCGCAGCCTCGGACCACAAGCTCAAACAAAGCCCAAGCACCGCTCAGCCGGGGGGCTTCCCCGACCTCGGGGGAGGGCTCTCCGGAGCATGCGCCCTCGCACCCCGCCCCGGCGCCGGCAGCCCCCGCCTCCTCGGCGGCGCAGGGCCGCAAGGGGCAT